CACCACTATGAGCTGAATAAAGAGCATGAAATCCACTCTCGACTCCGAGTATATTTCACCCCCCCCCCATGCACTCTGGAATGGTACAGTCCAGACACAGATTTACCACCTCTTTGAAAAATAGACCCAGGGTGTTTGGTGTGTGTATGTGTGTGTGGTTTGGACGGAGTCGCTTCTACGTGACTGTGGGAGGTATTAGGCAGCCCTGGATGTGTGCATCAGCCTACTTTTCAACCAGCCTGTTTTCTTGCTGTTTATTGCAAGGCTTGAGAGGATTTACGGCAGTGACAACACATCATTTCCAGAGGAGAGTGTTACACTCCCAGCAACCATTTCCAGATGCCCAGAAGCATGTTTTCCTTTTTGGTTGTTGTTGTTGGTTTCAGCATTAAGGAATTACCTCAACGCAATGCGGCCTGCGTGCCAAAGGCATGAACAGGACTCCTCAACCGGCCATGCTGAGGAAAGCAGCTGGCTTCACTACGGAATTTATTGTCTTGATTATAGCTCTACGTTCAAGAGCATTTCCTTGCTAAGTGAATGTCTGCTGGAGCTCAGGAGGAGAGGGGAGGGTGGCTGGCTGGAAACACAGCAGAGAGGAGATGCCCATTTGCATCCCCCCAAAACCTTTTATCCGTGGCGCTGTGGGTTAAACCACAGAGCCTAGGACTTGCCGATCAGAAGGTCGGCGGTTCGAATCCCCACGATGGGGTGAGCTCCCATTGCTCGGTCCCTGCTCCTGCCAACCTAGCAGTTCGAAAGCATGTCAAAGTGCAAGTAGATAAATAGGTACTGCTCCGGCGGGAAGGTAAACGGCTTTTCCGTGCGCTGCTGTGGTTTGCCAGAAGTGGCTTAGTCATGCTGGCCACATGACCTGGAAGCTGTACGCCGGCTCCCTCGGCCAATAAAGCGAGATGAGCACCGCAACCCCAGAGTCGGTCACGACTGGACCTAATGGTCAGGGGTCCCTTTACCTTTACTATTTTCAGAAATAACTTCTCAAGCCACTGGATGCAGGGACTTCCCAGTAGTGGCACCCTAGATTAGGATGTTCTATGCAGGGATGCCCCACTGCTGCTGACATGGTTATCCTTTCAGTGCCATGTTTTAATGCCCCCTGGTTTCCAATGCATGCTTTCCTTACTTCTGCTAAAGGGCCAGATAAACTAGACCTCTTTGCTAGATGCAAAGCCTCTCTGTAGGCAATTTTTGGTGGCATCAGTGTAACCTTTGTCCTCCGCCGAGTCTGTCCCATGAAGCGCTCTGCTCTCTTCCTGGCAGCAGCAGCAGAGGGGTCTCTCACGGCCGGCATTGTCAGAGGGTCATTCAGGAAACGTACACAATGTCAGGACATTTTAACACTGACCTCACCGCTTTATGACTCTTCAAGCTTCCTCCAGCGGAAACCGAGTCCTTTGAGATGGAAACCTGAGGCAGAGATGTTGCCAGGGGGTCTGGGAGAGCTTCACCCTGCATGAATCGATCCACAAAGCCTCTGGCTGCTTCTGTGTGGGACCGGGGGGGGGGTTACCGAGAGGCGTGGTCAGAGTCCGGTCCTGGGTCGAGGGTCTGGAGACTGTCCACCAAGGGCGAAGCAGGGTCCAAAGCAAGAAGCCGGGCGTGGTCAGGAACTCCGGAAGAACAGGTCCTGGTGCTGGCAGAAACAGGTTTCCAACGACGTTGCTCCCGCAACCTTGGACTGGGCTGACTGGCCTTTATCTCCTCTGAGGCCAGGGGCGGTCCCGGCCCACAGGTGACCCGCCTCTCCCGGCCTTAAGGCGAGCACTCCTCCTGAGAGAACTTAGTTCCCTCTGCCTCTCTGCCCTGAGCCTCTGCAGCTCAGGAAAGGCTGGAGGGTTACTGGACCCAGGGGCAGCTTCACCTTCCCCTGACAGGGTTGGGAGAGGTGCACCTGCAGGCAATGGGTCCTCAATCACCTCCGGAGCCAGAGTGGATACATCTGGTGTCTGCTCCTGAGGACCCGGCACAGGTGCAGGCCCTTCAGATTCAAGCCCCTGCCCCGGCTCAGCCGGCCCTGGAGGCAGGGACTCCTGTGCAGGCTGGGATTCCTCCGGTTCAGCCTCTGAATCAGATTCCCAGGCCATCACAGCTTCTGTGTGCTCAAAACGTGGGCAGCCCCCAATGTACCTCTTTGCATCCCTCGTTGAAAGCATACAGGCAATCTTCAACTCCTTGTCCTTGGCCTTCTAGAATACTGGAACTCAGAAGGTTTATCAAAACCTGGCAAAGAACCACCAGTTCTTCCTTGAGAATAGGCGAGGAGGAAGAGACCCGACAGAAGGTTATAAAAGTGGGTAGAGTCCCTAGACGCAATCAAAAAACAATGGGAGGATGACATAGGCTTTGAGATTAACCCCACGCAATGGACCAAAATGTGGTCTAAACCCCCCTTTAAATCCATATCAACGAAAAGAAAATAACTCACTCTAAAACTCACCTACAGGTGGTACCTAACACCAAGAAAACTAGCGCTAATACGCCCAGGAACCTCACCAAAATGCTGGAGAGGGTGCACCTCCACAGGCACATACCTCCACATGTGGTGGGAGTGCCCCAAAATCTAACTACTCTGGACAACAACCATACAAGAAATAAGTAAAATAACCAAGCAAGTATTAGAAATCACCCCAGAATTGACCTTACTAAACATCTTCCAAGACAATAATGCCCACTTACACCACAAAGAACTCATAACCCACCTACTCTCAGCAGCCAGAAACATCATAACCAGACACTGGAGAGACCTGTCAGGAGTAAGCATGGACCAATGGTACCAAATAGTATGGGAAAAAGCCCTACTAGAAAAATTAACCAATAAACTGAAACTGACACGGGGACAAATAGAAGAAGACACCTTCACCCCGGTATGGCTCCCCTTTATCACATACACAGCCCAACAAGACAACGACAAAAATCCACCAACAGCATACAAATCAATATAGCTAACCTGATCCAAAACACCCACCCACCCCACTCACACATGAAAACAAAGACCACCACAGCCAACCACAAATGAATAACCACACCCTAGGCCAATCCCAACCTCTCTCACCACCAAAGGAACACAAGCGAACAGCAGAGAACCTGCACAAGCGACGCTGACACCAAACCCTACATATAGTAAGTAAAATATAAACATCGCCACCCGACCCCCCCCATCTTTCCCCCCCACCTCTTCCCCCCTTTTCTTCCTAATGTCTCAACAAATGAAACTGATTTGTAAAAAATGTTACATGGGGGGAAAAAATATGAGAGAGAGAGACATTGCAAACAGTTTTGTAAATCAAGAAAATCTTTAATAAAAAAAATAAAAGTGGGTAGAGCAATGCTTTTCTCATTCTATCATAGCAATAGAACTTGTGGACACTCATTCAGGACATTGTTAAACTGTGGAACTCACTTCCACATGGCCAGCAACTTGGATGGCTTTCAAAGAGGACTGGGCAAATTCTTGAAGGAAAAGGCCATAAGGACTAGTAGCCATTGATAGCTATGCTCTGCCTCCATGGCTGGAGACAGTAATGCATCTGAAAACCATTTGCTGGAAACTGCAGAAATTCAAAATTGGGCAGCCCAAGTCAGGGCCATGGAGGGGCTAGCATAACAGTGGCACTTGATTCCATTCTGTTTATGAATCACTTCCCATAAAATATATTGAAGCGATTCCGCAGTGAAAACAATAAAAGCAACTCCATGCACAAAAACAGTTTAAAGCAATTTTCCGTGTAAAAAAGCAACTTCAAATCCAATACAGATGCAGAATGGGAAAAGGATTTCCACTGGAAAGGCTTGTTGAAAAAGCAAGTTCTGTGACAGGTACCAAAAAGGCAGTAGAGATGGCACCAGTCTCCTGGGCAACGGGAGGAATTTAAAAAACTAGGTGCACCCGCCCTGAAGGCTCTATTCCCATGCCATGTGGAACAGGTTTCTTTTGAGGAGCACAGTGATCCACTGAGTATACAAGGGGTAAGATGATCTTTCAGGTATTCTGCTCCCAGGCTGAATCAGGGTTTTGTACCTTGATGCCAGCTCCTTGAACTTAGCTTGCAATTCTTTCAAACAGTTGTAGCACGGTGGTTAGTCTGCTCCAAGAAGCAATCAAGCGGCTGCATTTTCATACCCGTCAACTGCCCCAGAAAAACTGGCACATCTTGTTTTTCCACACAAGAATATGGTGGCAATTTTGGACACCTTGCTCTTGTGCAATTTCCTGACGAGATCTCAGTCTGTGATCTCGCACGGTGTCCCAAAATGTGTGTTTTTGGGCACCATGCCTTTCCCGGGTCCACAATCTCACGTGGGTCACGCAACTCAGGCAGGATTTCAGACCCAGGAGATGGAGTCTTGGATTTGGGCCATGTCGTGTTGGAAGGTATGCATTTTGCGCCAGATCCAGCTTACAAACCAATGTCAATGGCCAGAATGCAATGCACAGAGTGATACAGAGTGCAATGCACTAATGCAGCCTGAAAGTTACCCACGGGTGCACACAAGTGGTTTTTACTTCTGGCCACAGCTGGCAAAATGCACAGCTAGCCACTGAGGTCACTGGGCCTTTAGTGACAGAGATGGATTCAGGAGCACCCCTGGACTATATTGGTAGAAATGGGGTTCATTTTCACAATCTTATTAGGAATTTGGTCGCTTCCAGAAGATGGGCAGGAATCAAGGACTGAGTTCCATCAGTGGAAGTCCACACAAGCACTTCTGCTTGTATAGCAGGGTCTGGAATGGCTTCAAATTGGATGTGGGACCACGTGTTGAGATTCCTGCATTGCAGGAGGCTGGGCTGGATGACCCTTGGGTGCCTTCCAACTCTAAAGGTTGGACGGTTAAGTCCAGTCAAAGGCAACTATGGGGTGCGGAGCTTGTCTCACTTTTCAGGCCGAGGGAGCCGCCGTTTGTCCACATACAGCTTTCTGGGTCATGTGGCCAGCATGACTAAACCGTTTATGACACAACGGAACACCGTGACAAATGCCAGAGCACACGGAAACGCCGTGGGACCTAGGACCTAGACCTAGGACCCTCGTACCTATAGGACCGCTTCTCCTGGTATGTCCCATGGAGGACCTTACGGTCTTCAAATAAAAACAACTTGGAGATCCCGGGCCACAGGGAAGTTAGGCTGGCCTCAGCCAGAGCCAGGGCTTTTTCAGCCGTGGCCCCGATCTGGTGGAACAGCTCTGTCTTGCAGGCCCTGCGGGACTTGACATCTTTCTGCAGGGCCTGCAAGACAGAGCTGTTCCACCAGGCCTTTGGCCAAGGCACAGTCTGACTCCCTCCTTCGGTAATCCTCACAGAACTCTAGCCCAATGGTTGCCATTAATTTGATTTTGAATTGATTTTAGAATGCATTTCACTTAATTGATTATGATTTTATGTAAACTGTGTTACTTTTATTGTTGTTAGCCACTCTGAGCCCAGCTTCGGCTGGGGAGGGCGGGATATAAACAAATTATTATTATTATTATTATTATTATTATTATTATTATTATTATTACTATTATTACTATTATTATTATTATTATTATTTACCTTCCCGCAGCAGCACCTATTTATCTACTTGCACTGATGTGATTTCGAACTGCAGAGGCTGAGACAATGCAACAAGAGCTCACCCCGTCATGCAGATTCGAACTACCAACCTTTCAATCGGCAAGCCCAAGAGGCTCAGTGGTTTAGACCGCAGCGCCACCCGCGTTCCTCTTTCAGCTCTACAGTTCTATGATTCTACTCTTGTAATCCTGCAACAGGGCTCCCCCACACCCTCTCTTCCCATCCCCGTTCTTTATCCTATTCTTATTGGTGGGACCAAGGGGCGTGGAAGCAATTTGATTCGGTTCACATTGAAAGGTGAATCTACGCAATCTGCATTTTCTGAAACAATCTGTGGTCTGAAACACAGCCTTCCTTTGACATTCACACTTCTCTGCAGTTTGCATCACAGTTCTCCAGCCAAGGAATTTGTGCAACGATGCTTAAATCGCATACAATATAGGAATGTGTGTACCAGTGAAAATAATGTGCAAAATGTATTTTTTTTGGCCACTGCTTCGAGGGCACACTCAGACCCTCGTGGGCCGGAGCCCAGCAGAGGACGGGGTGAGAGTGGAGCTGTGTCTGGCTGGCAACGTTGGTCTGTTGCATGAGTAAGCTGCCTCCACAGTTCCCTCGGGCACCAGAGTTAGGCCCCGAAGGCGTGGCTTCCCTCCCCGTGGCTCCAACCTCAAAGAGGGAGTCTGTTGTTGGGGCGCCTGATTGAGCCCTCTCAAAGAAACCACAGCCCCCCACGATACGCCACTGTTCCTGCCAATACCCTTTGTGTAAACCTTCATTTCATTTCGCTTTTAATTCGCCTTTCTATCTTACTATGCACAAGGTCGCATACAAGTTGAAGAAACAACAAAATAGACAGCAAAGATCATACACGTAATAGCAATCTGATCCAATACAAGAAAGTCACAATAATTTTAAAGTAAATAACTCATATCACATAAAGCAATATTCAATAATCCATTACAATATAATAGTAAACAGTAAGAGTAAGGTAAAGGTAAAGGGACCCCTGACCATTAGGTCTAGTTGTGGACGACTCTGGGGTTGCGGCGCTCATCTCTCTTTACTAGCCGAGGGAGCCGGCGTACAGCTTCCGGGTCATGAGGCCAGCATGACGAAGCCGCTTCTGGCGAACCAGAGCAGCACACGGAAATGCCATTTACCTTCCCGCCGGAGCGGTACCTATTTATCTACTTGCACTTTGACATGCTTTCGAACTGCTAGGTTGGCAGGAGCAGGGACCGAGCAACGGGAGCTCACCCCCTCGTGGGGATTCGAACCACCAACCTTCTGATCGGCAAGACCTAGGCTCTGTGGTTTAACCCACAACGCCACCCGCAGCCCTAAATGGCAAGATTAAATATCAGCAAATAATAATTAAACAGTTAACACATCAATTACAATAAAATATTAATAAACTATTATCAATAAAAATAACAGCAAGGCGCAATGCATAAAATGCCACAAAGCATGCAAAACCACGTAAAAGCATCAAACTGAGAAACAAGGAGACACAACTTATAAAATATTTTTTTAAAAAATACCCCCGAACTCCTCCCTTCCCAGCTGCTTTTGCTGTTCTCAAAGTCATTGTCACTCTTCCTGCAACTGCTCTTTGCAAAACCCACCAAGGTAGAAACCCTTCTAAATTTTGCTAAAAGCAAGCAACCCACTTGGTATGGAACAAAGAGTCATGCAACTTGGATGAAATACGCAAAATGCATGCATGCGTTAAAAAAAGAAGTGGTGCCCGTGTCATTGGTTTTCTTGGGAATACAACGGCCTGACCAAAAAAATAATAATGCCAAAAGGGAGGTCATCCATCTGCCTGGAGCACTGTTTGAATGGAGCCAGGATTGCAGGGGGAAAGAATGGGAGAGCTCTCCCCTCTGTTCAGATCTGTGTGATCTAAATAATCTGGGATGCCTCCATCTGGGAAAGGTTTTCTGTTCCTCCCCAGTGCTTGAGGTCCTTGATGTGTTATAACTTATAACAGACCATTACCTCACTGGTTCACTGCAGATGGCTGCAGTCTGAAAACCTTTATTCTACGATGGCTGGCTCTTACATCCCTTTCATCAAACTCATTTTTTGGGTGGAGGGGGCTTCATTCTTTAATTTTGCCTCCCCGCAACCCTGTCTTCTCCCAAGTTTTGTCTGACTCATAAGGATGCGATGGAACCAAGGATCTTTCTGACGTTTCGTATATCCGGATCGTATTGCAGAGTCATTAATTAGAAATATTAAGCTGGAAGGAAGGGTTTATATTTTGTCAGTATGTTCTTTCGATGTTCGCTTTAGAGAGGAAAATCCATTGAAATGCAAAAAACCTCCTTCATATGGGAGCGGGGTGGGGGAAATCTTCCCACCAAACAAAAAAGCACCATGTTCTGTAGGTTAAAGTTTAGTCGAACCCCTCTGCAGATGAATAACGTCGAAGGGAGTTGATGCTCATGATAAAAGATAGATCAGAGGTTATAGAATCATAGAACTGTAGAGTTGGAAGGGAACCCAGAGGTCATCCAGTCCAAACCCCTGCAATGCAAGGGATTTGCCACAATGAGGGCTCTAATGAAAGGATATTTTATTCTGATACCCTTCAATCTATATCTCACCAGCTGCACAGATTCAGTGTTTCCATTGAAGGAAATCTGCCTCGCCGTAGTGAATCATCATCCACATTTTGTCATTGTTGTTTAGTCGTGTCCGACTCTTCATGACCCCCTGGACCAGAGTACGCCAGGCACTCCTGTCTTTCACTGCCTCCCGCAGTTGGGTCAAACTCACACTGGTAGCTTCGAGAACACTGTCCAACCATCTTGTCCTCTGTCGTCCCCTTCTCCTTGTGCCCTCCATCTTTCCCAACATCAGGGTCTTTTCCAGGGAGTCTTTTCTTCTCATGAGGTGGCCAAAGTATTGGAGCCTCAGCTTCAGGATCTGTCCTTCCAGAGAGCACTCAGGGCTGATTTCCTTCAGAATGGATCAGTTTGATCTTCTTGCAGTCCATGGGACTCTCAAGAGTCTCCTCCAGCACCATAATTCAAAAGAATCAATTCTTCGGCGATCAGCCTTCTTTATGGTCCAGCTCTCACTTCCATTTTGTCATACTGAGAGTCATAGAAACATAGGATTGTAGAGTTGGAAGGGACTTTGAGGGTCATCTAGTCCAACCCCCTGCAATGCAGGAATCCTGCCCACTTCTGTCCTGGGTGTGCTTGAACCAGCAACCTTCTGGTTAGCAGCCAAATGTACTGACCCATTGGTTCAGAGCACTGGGGTCCAAGATAAAAGACACTCGACTGAACAGGAAGTCCCATTCATTTCAAAAGGTCTACTCTAAGGATGACTAAGATTGGATCAAAAGTATTACTGTATTATTATTATTATTAGTTATTATAGTAGTAACAGTATGTAGGCTAAGTACATTTATTAATATTGCATTTTAAAAAATCAACCACATCCCTTATTCATGGAGTTTCGAGTGACACTGTGGTTCTCCCCAGACCCTTGTCCCAAGACATTCATTTGCTAACACGGGTAGGAAACCTCTGGCCCTCCAGCTGTTGCTGGACTCCAGCTCCCATCATCCCTGATTCCTAGCCCTGGCAGCTACTGGGGTGAGGGGCAAATTTAACAAGGGATAAATGTGAGCAAATGCAATGTTATGTATTCAGAGTTTATTTTGATGTCACCTGGAGAGCCTGACACAATGTGGATGTGGAAGAGGGATGGAAGATTTTTTTTGGGGGGGGGGACAGACAGCAGAATGAAATCATAGGTGAATTTTGCGTGTCTCTTTTCCTAGGTCTCAGGTACCTATTTATCTACTTGCACTTTGACGTGCTTTTGAACTCGTAGGTTGGCAGGAGCAGGGACTGAGCAACGGGAGCTCACCTTGTCACAGGGATTCGAACCACCGACCTTCTGATGAGCAAGTCCTGGACTATGTGGTTTAACCCACAGCGCCACCCTCGTCCCTTATCTTACATTGTGGCTTTTCAAAAATCAGTCTGCTATTATTTTATGATTAGCCATTTTTTTGGATTGACAGTTGCCTTGGAGGGATCCCATTCTGGGCCCAAAAGGTAAGGGATATTGGGGGGGGGGGGCGAACACAACAGCAAACAAAATCAATCCAACAGGTCCTGCTCAGTGGAGCTGCAACCCCATAGAAACACAAGTTGCAATAAACATGGCAGTCTCCAAGGTGCATAAGCAACATAAAGACCTGAAACATGAAAACAGTACTGTATTGAACAAATATATATATCACAAAATAATAAATGGTTGCAATTTATTTAGTTAAAATTAAGCAACAGGGTGTGATATATATCAGAAGATGGAGCCCCACTGGCTCCATTTTTCCATCCTGTCCGATTAATCCAGCATCCTTGGGAAGAGGGCTAACACCACATCAACAGCAGGCTCTTCTCATGAGGGCACCAGGTTGGGGAACGCTGTTGAGGAGTTTCTGGTCTGAGAATGTGGCTGGACGATGGACAGAGCAACCGGGAGGCCATCACTCCAGGTCTGTCGCCTCTTTATAAATAACACTCGTCAAAGGGGCAGGATGTGTGTCAAGGCCATTTTGATAGAGTGTGTCTTTCCGGCTTAAAGAGAAACAAGGCTCTCTTTTTTTCCTGGTGAGATTGCTTTGAAACCAAAGCCCTCTCTTTCCTTTTATTTTTGGACCTTGGCAGAAGCCTTCAGAGAAAGGTTCTTGCAGAGAAAACACTTTTCCTTTCCACAGGCGCTGTGGTCTGGGTGTGGGCGCTGGCACAGCAACACATACGCAGATGAGATAACGTAGGTCCCTTTATTTTAAAAGCCCAGAATTCCTACAGGGCGTTTGCTTGTTTGGGGACAGTTTGTACATGCACTTGGTTTGCTCAGGGCTTTAGGGCTTGTGCCCTAAATGTGGACAGAGTCGGCTGAAGGAAAGAATCGTGTTGGAGGCAAAGCAAAAGTTCTGTCTTTGGTGTCAGGTCTCTCCAGGGCCATTCAGACATGCAGGGTATCTCGTCACAAAGTTATAGGTGGGCATGTGTGAACGGGCTCACCCTCACAGCTAATACCGTGTTAGTATGGAGAAGGTAGCAAAATTTCCGAGTGCTGCCATGAAGCTACGTCATTAAAAGACCAGAGGAGGGCAACCAAAATGGCCAAAGCCTGGAAAGGATGCCTTATGAGGAACGGCTAAGGGAGCTGGGCATGTTTAGCCTGGAGAAGAGGACGTTAAGGGGTGATATGATAGCCATGTTCAAATATATAAAAGGATGTCACATAGAGGAGGGAGAAAGGTTGTTTGCTGCTGCTCCAGAGAAGCGGACACGGAGCAATGGATCCAAACTACAAGAAAGAAGATTCCACCTAAACATTAGGAAGAACTTCCTGACAGTAAGAGCTGTTCGACAGTGGAATTTGCTGCCAAGGAGTGTGGTGGAGTCTCCGTCTTTGGAGGTCTTTAAGCAGAGGCTTGACAACCATATGTCAGGAGTGCTCTGATGGTGTTTCCTGCTTGGCAGGGGGTTGGACTCGATGGCCCTTGTGGTCTCTTCCAACTCTATGATTCTATGAAAAGACCTGAGAGGTGCCATTTAACATTATTGTATCTGTATAGTTTTATCTTAAAGTATCTCCTTTTATGAACAAGTGCCAATTTTATGCTTTGACCCATGTATTTTTGTGCCAATAAAGGAGACTGATTGACTGACAATAGCTTGTATGTAATATGCTTGCAATTACATGCATGTTGCATTTTTCTCAAGGGCTCAAAGCCCTTCTCACATCCCTTCTTTCAAAACAGCCTTGTATGACAGGCCAGTAGCCTTATGCCCATAATACAGACTGGAGCGGAATGAAGACTGAGGTTGAGAGAAACTGGGAGCCTGTGAACTTGCTGGCTGATGAGGATGGCAGAACATTAAAAAATGCAGGCCCAAGAAGAGTTCTTAATATCCCCATCCCCCCCAAATGTCCTATTGCAGAGCTGGGTAATCTTTTCCAGCCTGGGCAACTTTTCAGGGGCCACATGCAAGTAGTAGGCAGGGCCAGATGCAAAATTGGGCTCCATGATGTTGGTGTGATGCTGCCTAATCCACCACAAGCAGCATGTATGCTATGCTCTTTGAGTGTTCACGAACGTTATCTCAGCAATCTTTACTACACCACTGTAGGTTAGGCAAATATCTATCTATCATCTCTCTCTCTCTCTCATCTATCTTTCTATCTTTCTATCATCTATCTATCTATCTATCTATCTATCTATCTATCTATCTATCATCTCTATCATCTATCTGTCAATCAATCAATCAATCAATCAATCAATCAATCCATCAATCCATCATCTATCTAGTATCTGTGTGTCTATCTATGGCTTTGCAAAATCCCCAGGGCACAAAACAGATAAAAACAGAGCAATTAGAAAATAAAACCAACAGGCAGTTTGAGACTGTTGCTATTTTCAGGTGCGATTCAATCACAGACTGGCAAATTCAGGTTCATTGGGTGGTCTTGCTCAACAAAAGAACAGACTATTTACAATAAGGAAAGTGAGGGAGAAATGCCATGGAAAGTGTGGAATAAGACTTTGAGGCAATTTCATCTAACTTCCCTGCAAAACGAATCAAAGTCAACGCTCACTTAATAGCCAATGGCTTCTGGTCTCCGTGCAAACAAATTTAATAGATAATAATAAACAAATGAAGATGAATGCTCAGTAAACAAGTTATCTGGAAGCACCAAATGATAAGCTAAATTAGAGGAACAATTAAAACAAACAAACAAAAAAAGATAGTTGAAACAGTGAAACTCACAAAATTGTTGGATTAAAACCAGCTTTGGTTACATAATAGCTGTGTCATCCTGGGACATTTGCCTGGCACCAGAAAGATGCCAAGGTCAGTGCCAGGCCAGCCCCCCAGGGCAGGAATACTAGAGTTGTGGGGCCACCACTGAGAAGGCCATTTTATTGGTCACCACTCACCTGACCTCAGGTAGCAGCAGACATAGAGGAGACATTGCCCTTTGGGTACCCAGTCTCTAAACTGTTTTAAGTCTTTAAGGTACATTGTATTCTGCTTGGAAACATACCAGCAGCCAGTGCGGTCCTGTATCCTGGCAAGATATCCCTGTTATGTATTCAATGGTCTGTGTTTGCCTGAGCTTAAGCCTGGACTAAGGATTCTCAGCTCCTGTGTTCTGATTCGATACATGATGTCCAATCACAGGACATTTTAGGATTTGGGCCTCTGCCATTGGCCCTTGAACTCTGAGCTGTGATTCGCAGCTTGGAAGTTTAGATAGCCAATCACGTTGGGAGTGGGAGTGGCCCAGGCTTTCAGGAATGTATATAAGCAGTTGTTTTGCCCCTGTTTCCCAGGTTCAAGAAAGGTTCTTGCTGTTATCACTGTGTCTTGCCTCGTGGGAACCCACCTACACTTCACAGGTGATGAGGATGGGATGCTAGGCTAGGTATGCAGCTCTGGCAATCCCCCTATCTGTTAATCCCAGCTGGTCATCTTGCAGCTACATATGGGACAAGCAGCCATTTATGAGCAGTCTGCAAAGGCAGCAGCAGCACAAACAATGCATTGCAGCTGCCTAATCTCAAAATGAGTAGAACACTGATAACCTGGACCAGGTTATCTCCACTGAGGAAATACACCAACCTTAGCAGGTGAAAGATGCACAGGTAAACAGAAAGAGCTGGATCAACGAGCTCTCCCCAACTGCAGAATTGGAACCTTTTAGCGGGAGAACACAGGTGATGGGGACTGTAGTCCAACAACACCTAGAGGGCACCAGGTTGGGGATCATAGAATCATAGAGTTGGAAGGGACTCTGAGGATCATGTAGTCCAACCCCCTGCAATGCAGGAATATGCAGCTGTCCCATGCGGGACTCGAACCTGCAACCTTGGCATTATCAGCACTGCACTCTAACCAACTGGTATGTTTGGTATAGACAGTACTGCACTAGGTGGACTTGGGTGTGAGGGTGTGTTCCTGGATTTTCATGACCTGATGCAAAGTCTATGGGATTCACAATGGAGGTGGAGAAATGTGCCCATCATCTGTGGTTGAAGATCTTCAGTGCTGGTTTTTGTGTTTTGTTTTTTTTAAAGGAGAAAAATAAATAAATGTAAAGTCCGACTCCCTGCCCTCTGGACCTGGGATATGCTTAGAGGTGAAGGAATAAAGTCCTGAGAGCTTATCTGATGGAGCGTGAGCCTTGCCAAAGCTTCTTGCTATCAGCTGGAGACACATGTGCAATTGGCAAGGCTTCTGGGAAGGAACAATACAAACAGTCTTCATTGTGGAGTCAACAATGATGGGAGAAGGAGCCTGTGAGCTGTGGGCGGTCTGCGAGGCACACTGCAGGCGATTCCAAGCCAGGAAGATGCTGTCAAAATCAAAAACAGGGGATAGCAGATTTCTGGAGCGTGGCTTTTTTCCTCTTTTTTTGTTTTGTTCCCAAAGGAAAAAGTCGTACTTTGGGAATGGTTCAGAGCCAATAGTACAAAAGCATCAGGAGTATGTCTACATTAAAAAGAGTTTATAGTTGCTGTCATTTGTGCACTAAAAATAAACCTCTGTTGCCAGCCAGCTTTGGCAAGTAGCTGGACTTGCCAAGGTGCTAGTTCTCATTCAAATTGGCTTTGTGCATGTGGGTGTTAAAGAGGGAAAAGAAGGGTTTCTTGAAAGGGTAAATAATTGCAACTGAATTGGAATTCCTATGTTAGGAATCCATTCAGTCTCCAAAATTTCTGGTACTTTGAAAATGTAATTTGATTCCAAACCAGCATTTGGGGACAGACGCTCAAGCTTTCCCAAACACATGTAGACTTCAAAGGATGAAATCTACCACAGACAATAAAAATCGACTCCAAATTCTAATAAATGTCAAGATGAACAAATATATAGATACATTCCCTACAGTAGAGAGGGGCTGATTCAGAATAATCATATTGTATGGCTGTGGTAGAACTGCGCTTCAGATAGTTGGGGGATTACCGTATTTTTCGCTCTATAAGACGCACCAGACCACAAGACTGGTTTTTGGAGGAGGAAAACAAGAAAAAAAATATTCTGAATCTCAGAAGCCAGAACAGCAAGAGGGATCGCTACGCAGTGAAAGCAGCAATCCCTCTTGCTGTTCTGACTACTGGATAGCTACGCAGCCTACATTCACTTCAATAGAGATGGCTGATTCAGCATATTCACTTACTTGTATGGGAGTGGTAGAACTGAGTCTTATAGAGCAAAAAATACGGTATATTGTTGGACAGGAGAGGTTTAACAGAGCCCAGAAGGGCTTCTTAAGCTTAAAGTGGTTCAGGTTTGACAGCCAGGCCTGACTCCAGGCGAAATGGCTCATGGATGCTTTCTGAATGGCTAGGAAAAGAGAGCATTTGTCCTGATTTGTTTGCATGGTGTTTATAAGTTTTCCCGTTGATCAATTCTTCGCTCCCACTGGAGGCAGTAATGACCGCCAACGTGGATGAAAAATAAGAGAGATTCATCATCATCATCACAATAAATTTTTATTTATACCCCACCCTTCCTGGTTCAAAAACTGGGCTCAGGGCAGCTAATAACAAATTTAAAACACTTTAAAACACTTAATTATAAAATCAGTATAAAAGCATGAATAACAATAAATTCAAAAATCAAAAATCAATTAGATAATCCCCAGGGCTAGCTGGCTGAATTGGTCATACTTGGGCCAGCGAGGAGGCCAGGGGAGAATTAGCTGTGGGGCCTCAGAGCGAGTGATCTTCATAAAAGGGGAGGGGAAGGGAAGAGAAGGGAAATAAAAGATCAGGCTGAATTCAAATTAAAGGCCAGGTGGAATAGCTCTGTCTTACAGGCCCAACGGAAGGAGGTTAAATCCTGACAGGCCCTAGTCTCATGGGACAGAGCATTCCACCAGGTCGGAGCCATCACTGAAAAGTCCCTGGCCCTGGTGGAAGATAGCCTGACTTCCTTAGCACCCGGGACCTCTAAACTATGGTTATTCATGGACCTTAAGGTCCTCTGCGGGGCATACCAGGAGAGGCAGTCCTGCAAATGTGAGGGCCCTAAGCCACAAAGGGCTTTAAAGGTCAAGACCAGCAGCTTGAACCTGATCCTATACTCCACCGGGAGCCAGTGCAACTGGTAAAGCACTGGGTGAATACGCTCCCATGGCAGGGACCCAGTGAGGAGCCTCGCTGAAGCATTCTGCACCCGCTGGAGTTTGTGGGACAGTTTCAAGGGCAGCCCCGCGTAGAGTGAATTACAGTAGTCAAGCCTGGAGGTGACCGTCGCATGGATCACTGTGGCCAGATCGGGGCAGGAAAGGTAAGGGACCAACTGCTTAATGCGGCAGTTGGGTCATGAAGGTTGGGTCTATCAATGGCTAATAATCATGATGGCTATGTTACGTTGGAGGTGGTAGTGCTTCTGAATACCAATGGTTAGAGGAGTCGCAAGTTGGGAGAGCACAGTGGGTGTGGGTGAAATCACATACCAGATTATATAGTTATCAACTTCCCAGCTAGAATGCCAACAGTCGCTCTTCCCATCATTCTTACCAAACGCCCTCCCCGCCCGCCATCCCTCCAGACTCCCCGTTTTGCGGCTGCTGTGAGAAACCCCAAAGGCCTCCCTTGTTCAGGACCACTGCAGGCTTCCTTTGCCATTAGGTGGAAGGGAGTTTTCTTTTGCAATGGTGCCGGCAAGGCCAGCTGGCTGGCATGCGCCTCCCAAGGGAGATGTTAGCAGGAGGCTGTGCATTTCTGGGAATTGTGCGGGTCGGGGAAGGAGGCCGTCATTGTTCAAGCTACAAGCGTGCCTCAGGCTTCTTGAGACCCCACCTTGGCTAGGAGCAGAGGTGGAGATGTCTGGGCAGTCAGAGGGGAAACTTCTGACCGTTATAATAACAGTGGTCACAACTGGGTCTTCAGTGCTGGTTCAGTTTCAGATTTTTTGCTTCTAATGTGTTAAACACCATGTGTGAATGCTGTTCTCCCCCTTGGGATGAAAAAGGTTAGCCCCCCACCAGTGCTCAACGGCCTCAGGGAGCAGAAGGGCTCTTCACTAGCCTAATTTTCCTCCCACTCATAGTCTCTCCCTCAGGTGTTCAGGTACTCGGCCGATCCAATGTTTTGGCACCTGAGGCAGACCCCAAAACTGTGCCCCCCTCCCCGCCAGGGAAGATCTACATCAGGAACAAGGGGGAAAGATAGATCTACATTGGAATCTCTTGCCGTCTGAGGCAGCCGCCTCACCTTGCCTCATGGGTGAGTCAGTCCTAAATAAAGGTCCGTGTTGCAAATCTAACCAAGCCTACTCATTTATGACTTCATTGAGACTTACTCCCAGGTAAACGACATTAGGATTACAGCCACTCTCACTAGCTCGATTTCCCAATTCAGTATGAAATTGTCATCTTATCTCATTTCCCTCACTTGAGCACCAGAGAGGGCAATTTAGTTATGCCAATAAAGCTGGGGATTGGGGGAGGCGGAATTTTAAATTCAATGTTACCTGTAAAACACACATATGTAGAGAGGTCAAAATGGGCAGTCAAATCCAGGTGGTTCTTCCCACTTTCACACAGAGGTTGGGACTTTAATGGAAGAGCACAGATAAAAGCCATAGGTAACAAGAGATATTGTTTATTTCCATGTGAAAAGAACAATAATTAGTAATTATTTCCTTTTTTCTATATAATTCAGAATAGGAAGTAGATTAAGGCTGAAATTCTAAACCCACTTGTCTGTGAATAAGCTTCACTGCTTATGAATTCAATGTCAAAATGAATTCAATGTCATTTACTTCTGAGTAGACAAAGCTGGGATTACAGCTTTAGTGCATATATGCTGCCTCTGGCAACAAGCAGCACTTCAGAAATAAGAAAAGTAAAAGAGGCATCTGTTAGCCAAAAGCAAATACCTTATTTTTAAACTTCCCTGTGTGTTAGCTTTCATAGTATATGAAGCAGCTAATGGCCCATCAATTAGCCATTTCCCCAGAGGGTTCTAAACCTCTTTGCACTTCATGATAACAACATTAGGAAATGTCAAACAAAGGGATGCATCAAAAAATATATAATTAAATACATATATTTTGCAGACTTAAAACAACTTACTGTGAATGAATGCAGATTGCATTCACTTCAAGGAATTTCATTCCTAAACACAGAGGACACACACACAAAGGGAATTTCAGTATCTGCATCCACTTAGAGCTGAATTCTCCCACATCTAAAACTGTGGATTCTAGTGAAGGTTTCTTTCTGAGCTGATTTCTTTTTAGTCTAAGCGATGCTTTGTCAAAAAATTTCACATCAAACTCCTGTATGCCCATCACAACTTCCCTAACATGACTCTGACAGTGGATTCTGGGAATTCATGCAACTCATTCCTATGGGCATCAAGAGGTTTAAAGTAGAAGTTCAGGAGCTTAGAGAGGAGTGGAATAGAGAATCGGAATGTGTTATACAACCTAAACAATGCAAAATCACTATAGAATCTATAAGGAACATTTTCTTAGACTTAAAATTTAGATTGATCAAGGGAAAAAAAGGTTTCAAGTATATTGAACTCCAAAATGCCTTTATGGAAAGTCACTGTCTAACATTGATAAGTGTAAGGGGTGTAATCATAGAAGCATAGAATTGAAGAGCTGGAAGGGAACCACAAGGGTCCTCTAGTCCAACCCCCTGCAGTGGAGGAATCTCAGCTAAAGCATCCATGACAGATGGCCTTCCAAACTCTGCTTAAAAACTTCCAAGGAAGGAGAGTCCACAACCTCCAAAGGGAGACCGTTCCACTGTCAAACAGCGCTTACTGTCAGAAAGTTTTTCCTGATTTGTAGTCAGAATCTCCTTTCTTGCAACTTGAAACCATTGACTTGAGTCCTACCCTCCAGAGCATAAGGGAAAAAAACTTGTTCCCTCTTCCATATGGCAGCCCTTGAGATATTTGAAGATGGCTATCATATCTCCTTTCTGTCTCCTTTTTTCCAGGCTAAACATACCTAGCTCCTTCAACCATTCCTCATAAGGCTTGGCTTCTAAATCATTGATCATCTTAGCTACCCACCTCTGTACACATTCCAGCTTGTCAACATCCTTCCTAAATTGTGGTGTCCAGAACTGGACACAATATTCCAGGTATGGTCTGACCAAGGCAGAATAGAGTGATACTATTACTTCCCTTGATCTGGATGCTACATTTCTGTGGATGCAGCCTAGAATAGCATTAGTTCCCAAAGATGTCTCAGAGCCAATTTGGTGGGGGGGTGGTCAGGGGCAGAAGAGGGGAGGAAAGCCCCACTGCCATTGCAGAAGAAGGCTTTTGCTATTCAGGTGATGCCTGGCATCTAGAAACTGATGAAGACCGCTTGCTCCACCACAGGAACCCTTGTGTTGGGCTTGGCGAAGATATCTTAATAAGTGTCCAAATACAGACAAAAGGATGGAGAGACTGCTAAGCCATCTTCCAAAATGTAAAGTAGATATATGTAAAGTAAAGGTAAAGGGACCCCTGACCATTAGGTCCAGTCGTGAACAACTCTGGGGTTGTGGCGCTCATCTCGCTTTACAGGCCAAGGGAGCTGGTATTTGTCTGCAGACAGCTTCTGGGTCATGTGGCCAGCATGACTAAGCCGCTTCTGGCGAAACCAGAGCAGCACACGGAAATGCCGTTTACCTTCCC